CATTGCTGACCACATGAAATGGGAAGGGGTTTTCTTTAAGTAGCACCCTTTTATAATCAGCTGTCTGCTGGACACCTGTTTAATGAATAATTATACTCACCTGTAGTTGAATTCTTGTTAGGATTTTGTTGTCTACAATTTAGCTTTGCTCCTATGACTTTCATTGGGGTATATTTATTTTTATAACGGGGCGTTGCTGTCCTGTTAATTGGACGCTGGTGCCCTGCACTCCTGTTTGCCAATTGTATCTTATTGCTGAAAGAATTAAAATGTGGAGAAATGTTTAAGTAAACCAAAACACTGGGTCTGCTAACCACTTCATGACTGCCCACTATATCCTTATCTTCACAGCTTTCACATTTTATTGCTGAAATAATCTGAAACACCTCTGTCAATTGTTAAGCACAGTTTTTTCTTTGTTTTTTTGCAAATGTTCTAGTTTCCTGTAATTTTACTTTATACCTTCACCATCGTGATTTACATGCAAGCTGAAATGAAAAAATAATTGTGGTTTATCTATTGGATTTTGTTTCAGAGTAGGAAAAACATAGTTTCCTAAATGGCCTTGTTTTTATTGACTGACTGTTAGCAGTGAGTAAAATTCAGCTTGTGAAGGGAACCATAGGTTTGTCTGCAGGAAAGGTCCAAACCTTTTACCTATTGGATCATTGAGTCACATATGAGCCTGGTATGAATAGAGTCACAGTATGATTACTGCTCTTCCCCCGCCTCAGTGACCATTAAAACCAGCATTGCACAGAGGGTGGGGGTTTAGACAGTCAGTTTGTTTCATCCTTGATGGAAAGGGCTTTGTACAATAGCTTTGGCGACAACAGGTGGTAGAGGAATTGAGCAGACGCAAGCTATTTTTTACTGCATCGTGCTGAGCACTAATCTAAACAAGCCAGCAAGTTGCAAAGACCACATTAAACTATTAACAGGTATTTCCGCTTAGCCAATCTGGTCAACCCTCACTTTTGTCCATTTTTTCTTTTTTTTATTCTTCCTTTCAGGTCTTTGCATATGTTCTTCCATTTGGTTTGCTTTATCAAACGCATGGTTATTGCTTTCCAGTAGATGGCAAATAGGTGTTAATGTCAGATCGGTAGTGCTTGTTAATTTGTTTCCCCCTTCTAATTGACTAGCCTTCCTTGCGCTGTTTCCCTTGGAGAGATTTGCTCTTTACACCTGAGAGAATTTTTCCCATTAACTTCACAGCACAAGCTGCACACTTTGCATTTAAATCTCCTCCATGTGATTAAGCAGTCATAGGAATTAAGAGTGGAAGGTGTTATTACTTTTGATGTGTAAAATTGTGCTCTACCATAAAGCCATTCCCCCTGCAGTAGGGGGACTTAGCTTTTCATTTAGAAATGGATGTGAATGCTGAGAAGTCTTTGTGGCTCTCTTCTTACACGTTGTGAACATGCTTAGTATATTATTTTATTATTTTTCCTATTTTCAGCTGCTGCACCAGACTGAGGGAATTGTGTGCCATGCAGATTTGTGTCATGATTTGCATATCCACTCATTGGCTGATCATTTAAGAACCAGATAGAACTGTAAATATAAAATAAGGTATCTTGGAGAACAATAAGGAGCGAGTGATTCTGGCACCTGGCTAATGAATGTTTTAAAACTGTTGAAGATATGGCTCTTAAGTCATCCTGCAAGAGTTGAAATTTAAAGGAATAAAAAAATAATAAAATATATATAGATCTATCTATAGATAGATCTAGATAGATAGATCTAGATAGATAGATATATCTAGATAGATAGATCTATAGATTGATGGATCTGGATGGATGGATCTGGATGGATCTGGATAGATGGATCTGGATAGATGGATCTGGATAGATGGATCTGGATAGATGGATCTGGATAGATGGATCGATCTAGATGGATGGATCGATCTAGATGGATGGATGGATCGATGGATCGATCTAGATGGATGGATGGATGGATCTAGATGGATGGATGGATGGATGGATCGATCTAGTTGGATGGATGGATGGATCGATCTGGTTGGATGGATCGATCTAGTTGGATGGATCGATCTAGTTGGATGGATCGATCTAGTTGCATGGATGGATCGATCTAGTTGGATGGATGGATCGATCTAGTTGGATGGATGGATCGATCTTCCAAACCATAACACTGCCCCCACCAGCTTGAAGGGTTGTACTCATGCATGTGGGGTGCATGCTTTCATGCTGTTCCCGCCAAATTCTCACTCTGCCATCTGCATGATGCAACTGGAAACGTGATTCATCGGACCACATGACTTTTTTCCAATGCTCGACTGTCCAATCCTTGTGTTCCTGTGCAAATTGGAGACGTTTTATCTTGTTAACTGCAGACAGCAAAGGTGTTGGAACATGCCTTCGGCTTCCATATGCCATACAATGCAGTGTATGGCGAACAGTGCGTTCAGAGATTATTTGAGAGGATCCCTGATTAAGATCTGCAGTAATTTGATGCACTGTTGCCCTTCTGTTGTCTTGTACCAGTCTTGCCACTCTCCTATTCTGCCCTAACATTGACTAATCGCTGACGGCCACAATTCGCACGTTCAGACCCAGATTTCCGGCTAACAGTCCAGTCTTTAAACACTTTAACAGCTGCTGTTGAACATTTAATAAATTCTGCTGTTTTGCTGATACTCGCTCCATGGCTCCGAGCGCCAACAATCATCCCACGTTCAAAGGCTGTTAAATCGCGTTGCTTACCAATATCTTCAGAAAAATCACTTCTACTGTCTGTATATATATATATAATCTATATATAGATCTATCTATATAGATCTTTATATATCTATATATGCGCGCCACATTTTAATGCAGAAAACACTTCTGATGCGTTAATTTAGCATATCAGTTTTGACAAAATCACCTTGTTTTCAGTTAAACAGCTGTCTGAAGCTGGCCATACACCTATAGATTTCCGATCGTAAATTTTCGTTGCTGCCAAGAACCCTCGTTCAATTTTGATCGTTAGCAATACCAACTCACCAAATTTTGTTGATCCGCAGAACTGATTTTTGTTTGCGCATGTCCAGTGTTCTTGCTGCAATTGTATTTTTTTCGTACAAAAACGGCACAAATTTATCGATTTTTCGTTTGTTTGGAAAAATGTTTTCAAGCCTCCCCCTTCAAGAAAAATCAAGCGGGATTACAGTGAAAAAATTCTTGGCGTTCCATCTTTTCGATTATCGTTCGAAAAGCCATTTGTGGAAGATTTCCGAACGAAATTCGAAGAGTGTATGGGCACATTTACGCAGGACAGATGCCTACACCTAAGATCACACAGTCTCTGGTTAACAGGAGCAGTATTGGTGGTTAACATCATTGGAGATTAGACATGTGCACCAGCAAAACAATGTTTTCTTTTTAATTGGGTTTTTATATTTCGGGACTCGGGGCTGAGAGTCAATTTTGTTTCAGGATTCGGACGAAATTCCTTAGCGGTAGTACGTACAAATTTTCATTGCAGCAAAGTGACATTAGACAAAAGGGAGAAAAAAAGAAAAAGTGTAAGGCACTTTGTGAACTTGAGTGGGTCCCTCTTAACATTCCTACTAGACCTAATGTGTCTGGTATCAATTGGGGGGGGGGCCCCCCCCCCAATTGATACCAGACACATTAGGTCTAGTAGGAATGTTAGGAGGGACCCACTCAAGTTCACAAAGTGCATGGGGTACCCCCCAAAAGCCATATCAGGTCCTATAGGTCTGGTAGGAATTTTGAGGGGGAACCCCACCCCCCCAAAAAATGAGAGGGGTGTTGCCCCCCACCCCTAAAGTTCCTACCAGACCCTTGATCCAAGCACAGACAGGGCAGGAAAGTGTGGCGGGGGGGAGGATGGGGACAACTGCCTCTTCCCCACAAACCTGACCCAGTGGTTGTGGGGGTGTGGACAGGGGGGGATATTTGCATTGGAGTACCTCTTTAAGATGGCACCCAGATGCCACCCCCCTTGTGAATGAATAATATTGGACTCCTACTCATTCAGTAAAGGGTTAAAAGTCAATATAGACTACACATTTTGAAAAAAGTCTTTTAATTGAAAAAAAAAGTAAATTTTTGACAATTCCTTTACAAAAAAGAAAATAAAAAATGGCTCAATTGATGTAATCCAGCGTTAATCACACTGAACGTTGCCTGCCGACTTGCCAAAATAAAAATGTCCCGCCACGCGACGACTCGTTTGAACCTGACGAAGACTCTCCGCAAATTACATCTCTGGCCAGAATGTAAAAGGATGATCGGAGCGAGCCATGACGTCATGGGGCTCGTTCTGCCCATTTGACAGTCAGCTGTCCTAACACAATAGCATTCAGGAGCTCCCGAATGCCATTCGTGTTTGTAAGTCGAAGTGTCATATGAATAGTATTGCGACACCTCAGCTCACAGACACAAATGGTATTTGGGAGGTCACACATTCTATTATGACAGCTGAGAATGTCAAATGGGCGGAACAAGCCCCTTGATAAGGCTCGCTCTACCCATTTGTTTACATTCTGGCCAGAGATGTAATTTTGCGGCAAATTTCCGCAGGGTTCGGACGAGTTGTTGTGCAGCGGGACTTTTTAATTTTGTATTTTGGCAGCTCGATGGGTGTTCATCCTGATTGACCCTGGATTGCATTGGTTGGGCCATTTTCTTTTTCTTTTTTTCAATAAAGGTATTGTCAAACATTTTTTTCCCTTTTGTCTAATGTCACTTTGATGTAACACATTTGTCCGGAATTAAAATTTGTACATAGTACCGCTAATGAATCTCGGCCGAAATGTTTATTTGAAATTCAGATTAATTTTCATTTGTCATGGGGCTTGAAAGCCCTGGGTATCTTGTGACCAAAAGGTATTTTTTTTTTCTTTTACGATATTATGCATTGTATACTTGTAGAAGACTTCAGAAACCTTTTAATGTTGGAATAGAAGTGGAGCGACTTCTTCAGAGCGAAGTTCTTTGGTAAATTCTTTTGTTTTACCTTTTCAGGGCTATCAAGAATGCCAAAGGCCTTCACAGCAAGAAGGAAATTCCAATCCACAGAGTGGCCGACATCTCTGGGGTAAGATTTTCATTTCAAATTGTAAATGGTGTGCATCATTTTTTGGACTGGCATACAGTGACATGGGGTGCCAAAAGGATGATCTTTTCATTGAGGTGTCATGATAACTGCTATTCTGATTTTCAATTGATGAAATTCTACACATCTTCTGAAAAAAGCAAAAAACACTTGCTACCTTGGTGAGGAACCATGGGCTCAACATAGACAAATGCCTCACACATCAGACTTGTGATGCCAAAACTTACAGCATGAAGTAATTGGAATCTAAACATTCATGTATATCACATGATACAGATGTGGGAACTTGCCCTAAATTTTGATTTGGCACCACACCGGTCCTACGATTTGACAGGAGCCTTCAGTGTGCAAAAAATCTGAAAATGCTTGCTGACCTGCCCCCCCTCCCCTCTCCCCTGACACCATGTGGAGTTCCCTCACTAGTAGCAGGTTAACTACCAAGCTACTAATGCTTTTGTGGTTTGTATGCCACATAGAATGAAATGGTAATTGCCCAAATCTCTCATTTTCAATTTCAGAACACCTTACCTTTTATTGACATTACACTTTGTAGATTGTATGTGGACATTGTGTGCCATTTTCAAAAATGTTTTAATTTACATCTGTTATAAAAGGTTTCCTGGTCAGTTGACTTTTATTCAGCAAGCAATAGATCACTGTGTGAGTGATCAGTTTCTGCAAGGGAGGTTTGAGGGTGCCTCTAATGGTTAGAACTCTAGCAGCGAATTAGTGAGTTCTATTTGTGGTGTTTAGCCAAAATGTCTGATTTTTTTATTTTTGTTCCTATAGTATCTCCTTTCCATTTTAGTTTAAAACCGTTAGAAAATCAGAGAAAATATATCCTTCAAAACAGACTGCATCTTAGCTTATACTGAGAACTACTTCATTGTATTTTTTTTTCACTGCTTAGACTGCTTCCTATAGAAGATATGTCACACTGGCACAGCTTGCTATCGTATGTGATTTACTAATCATTCTGTGATTCCTATGTGATGATAGTCTCTTTCCAAAGCCTGCTTTCCATTGCCATGAACCTGCTGTGCAGCGGGATTCTGTTGTGCAGCTGCCCTCACTGTTAATTGCACAGTCAGAGTTTGGAATCCAGTAATGGGCTGACAGCGCTGAAACATGTTTTTTAGGAACTCTAACAAATGATCATGTCTTAGTAATTATAGACTACACTAAAATCCCAAATGTGAAATTACTTTTGAAACGGGAAGTCCTAGTCCCTGATAATTTTATGTTAATCTGCATTTGTAAATCCTGTCTTCAGTTAGCCCCATTTAATTCTAGGTTTCTACTGTAGGTATTAACAAAATATTCAGTGTCGGTGTTAAAGGAGATTTATGGGGTGAGTGAAAAACACCAACATAATTCAAGCCAACCTGTGACAAAGTTAGCGCTGACTGGAGGAAAGGACAGGTAAGGTGGTGGGCACAGCTGGCTCTGCTTCTAGAGAGACTGAGCCAGCTGTCAATCAGCTAGCAAGGTGGATCTCGACAGTATTGTCAGGATCCGTCGCGGCTGGGGCGCTGTCAGAAAATAGCAGGCAATTGCTTCCTATATACTGACCTATGGGTCATCAGAGGACACAGTGTATGTCCTACTGTGACCCTGAGGACAACTATGGGCTAAAAAGGTTGCCCCATAGTTATCCTTTAAATTCTTGAAATTAATCCTTAAACCTCTAGTTTGAGATGGATTGGATATCAGGCCTCCTGCAAATCAATATTACTGCTACTTTGTTTCCCTTGATTAAGTGTATCATAAAAATTCCCTAGGCATTAGCTACCAAGCAGATATATTGATATACAATATTTTCCTGTGCTGTGACCCTTGGTTTCTAGAGCAGCTCTATAACTCAATGGCAAGCTATCAGAATGGATGCATCATTGTGCCATGCTAATGTAGGCACATAGTGTAGCTATATAACATGTTGTAAAATGATTATTGAACTATGCTTTTTTGTAGGTTTCATTCCTAGTTTTAGATAAAGGGCTCACATCCTATATCAAAAAAAGGGGGAAAGAGAAAGAAAGGGGCTTTGTGGTGACCACTGGAGAATAGCAGGGAATTGATCCAATAATAAAGTCAATTGATTCATATATATAATAAAATTCAATTTTTAATATACTCAATTCATAATGTCTATACATATAAATATGCCAAAATTCATCCATATAAAAAACCATAAATAGATGTATACACCATAAATAACCTCCCTGGAACCCACACAGAAACCATGATTATAAATTCATATATTGGTCATTGCCCTCATTGTATTCATATCTTATTTGCATGATTAATTGTACATAATTGTTCTATATATCATTAGTTCAGCCATGATTCTCTGCTTGCTCCAGTCTTCAACGCGTTTCGCCGAGGCTTCGTCAGGAAGATTTGGAGAGGTTAACCTATAGTATTTGTATGGGTATGAGAATCAATTTGCAATAGTCTACATGATATTGGATTGGAGGGCTCACATCCCTCAAACTCTTGATACTACAAAAAAAACTTGCATTATGGAATACATAGTGGGCAAGCTTTTAAACGGCCACTGCAAATTCAACATGCATATTAGTATGCCATTTCCATTATAAATCTATATATTGGCACTTGTGCTCACTGAGATGGCCTTGACAAAGCAGTTTCATAAAGCTGAGCTCACAGTAAATTCAACCAAATCAGCTCAATGCTTGTGAATACCTAAAATGACAGTATTTTATAATCATTGCTTCTGTTATATGAATCCATCACGGAAGTGACTTCCGTATAGACAGACATGGCTTAACTGGCATCCCTGCCTATATATTTGCCTCCCATAATAATTTTGGAAGAATCTTCTGTTCTAGAACACATTAAAAAAGGTGGGCATAGCATAAAGGTGTTGCGTTAATTTGACCCATACAGATAAAAAGAAATTAGCAGAATCTCAGAAGGCATTATGGCTTACAAGGACTGGTGTTCATTAAGGCAGTCTTTGGGTGTCACAGAAATGCCCAGTGTTTAATGGTGTTTTTCTTACTCTTTAGTGTTGGCTTTGCCCTCCCTGTTGCAAAACCTGTCACCTTCCTACATGAGACAGTGTGTAAAATTAAGTGAAAGCTTGCACGTGTATTTAATTCTTTTTTTTTTCTTCATAATCACAGCAACCAAAGGCATAAAACATTCCTGTGACACAAAGTTAGTAAATACCTCTCTCCTTTAGATGAATGCTTGTTATCTTCAGGCAATTTTATACCATATTTGTATTTATTTGGTGCTAGATCTTTGGACCTTTTCAAGTTTAAATGCTCAGAGAATACAGTATGTAGGTTTAGTGGGTCATTTTTGAAACCATAGGTCATTTTCTAAAACTTAAGTACAAATGTTGACAAATGTGATGGTACTCTTACAGCTCATTGAAACAATGCTTAATTCCTCTTGAAAAGTAATGACATTGAAATCAATTAATTGTATACCTGCAAGCCTTTTGTAAAAGGTAAAGCAAACAGTGTTAAGACGTAGGTTATTGCTTATTGTACAAAGATATATTCTAAAATGGCCTGGAGAGATTTGTTGGTAGCCCTAGAAAAGATATATAAATATTTAAATCATAGTGATATTTCAAACTACAACAGATAGGGGAACAGAATGGAGTTACGCTGAACCGGATAATGTTATATAATATAATATGCTATACCAGTCTCCAGGGTTTTAACAATGCTAATCAAGATATAAGGTGTCCCCAAAAGAATAGAAATCCCTTACTCGGAGCTGGTTCAGTAAACAGGTAGAAAATACGTAATTTAACAGTTAGAATATTTAATCATAGAAAAATTTGTTTAACATTACATCCACAACGAGACATTTAAAAACAGTTAAAAAACTTCCCTAGGGTAACAATAATATATGAATCATGGGTGGTCTGCACTCCAGCTAATGTGGTAATATAGAGGTGCCACCTACTATATAAATATCTCATGTGTGGGTACAATATGTCCCGGGTTACTCACAACTCATGTTGCTCAGGGAGCTCAGGGATATTTCAAACTAACTATTTTGTATAATTAGTATTCCACATCTTCCATCTTGTCAGTCAGCCAGCCTATTTTAATGGAGGAAATGAGTCACTCTATTTGGTATCTTCATGTGCACCACATTGAACATGAATCGGAGAAGGCGAAGCAGAGCATATTCTGAGGAGCTCAATAATAGACCAGAATGTCAAAAGTTAAAGGGTAGGAGACCATCTCCAAGCAGCTTGAGATTTCTGTGATTACATTTGCAATTAGTAAGAGGTTTAAGGTCCATGGGAATGGAGCCAACCTCCCAGGATGTGACTTAAAAAGGAAAATTGACACCAGATTGAACAGAAGGATAGGGCAAATGGTAGACGGAGCCAAGAAAAACTTCCAGAGAGATGCAAGCTGAACTCTCAGGTCAAGATTCATCATCAGTTTGATTGCACCAACAGTTGCTTGAGTGACAATGGGCTCAGAGGAAGAAGACCCCGGGGGACTTGATAGTTGAAGGGAAAGCATAATGGGCTAGAGAATAATTTGCTAAAATGCATATTGACCATCCACAATGCTTCTGGGAGAATGCCCATTGGACTTTTTGTGCAAAGTCGCATCAGCTTTATGTTTACAGTGTAGAAAATGAAGCTTTCTGAGAACTGAACACTATCTACTGTAAAACATGGAGGAAGATCAGTTATGTTTTGGGGCTGCTCTGTTTCATGTGGCATAGAGTGCCTGGAACCTGTGCAGGGCCCAATGAAACCTCAGGACGTGTCAGAAGGCTCTGTGCCATTTGCTGCTCACTCCAACAGGATAATGACCCAAACACAGCTAAAAGCACCCAATAATGGTCATTTGACTATTCAGAAATGACCTTCTATGAGCTGTGTTCTGAACCCTATGAAACATCTATGTTTCATAAGAGCCTGAAACATGCAGTCTGAAGAAGGCACCCTTCAAACCTGAGACAGCTGGAGCATT